GCAGAAATGACTACAGGATTAACTTCCTGAAGGGTTTTGAACTTTAGAAAGAAGTTCCTGGCTACTTGTTTGTGCTTCTTTCTCTCACACTTTCAGTACAACTTCCTAATGGTTTGAGATTTTTACCCAATTATTAGTAAATTCAATACCATTCCTGTTTCTGGTTTGCATTTGTGGTATGATATGTAGTTGGACATTTCCTAAAGAAGATATAGTTTATCATACTTATGGAAAGTTGAGGGCTATAAGGTCCTTCCATAATTCTAAAATCTTGAACCAATAATATTCCACTCAACACCAGTTTATGTAGGATCTAGACTGAGCTTGAAGTCATGTTAAAAGCTATAGAGATTCCAACAAGATTTGTATTTTCAAGGGAAATGAGGAGACTGCTCAATCAGATCAGTGTGGAAACTGAGTCCATGTAACAGAAAGAGAGGGAGAAAGAGACAATATTTTACTTAATTTTTTTCCTTCTGCTCCTAACAGAGCAAGTTATATTAACATCAAAAAAATCAAGCAATATAATTAATCATATTAATGGACTAAGAAAAATCCGAAGGTTTTCTCAATTCATATAAAAAAAATTTGATAATATTCAACACATATTGATAGAAAAAACAGAACTTGCAGCAAGCTGGGAATATAACGAATTCCTCAATGCAATAACAGGCTTCTACAAAAAACCTACAGCCAACATCATTTTAAAAAATGAAAGACTGAACGTGCTTACTCTTCAAGTCAGGAACAAGGTTGAAATGTCCACTCTCATTACTTCTAAACATTGTACTATGGATCCTAGTCATTGTGTCAATATATATGCAGCTTGAAACTAATGAATTAAAACTTTTAGCAGGAATTAATTGTAAGTAGAAATTTCAAAAAGGAAGCATTTACATTCGATCCCCGGTACCAAAAAAAAAAAGAAAAAAGGAAGCATTTACAATAGTATCAAAATATGAAATAATTAGGGATAAACTTAACAAAATATATGCAGTACTCTAAATTGAGGATTATAAAATATTTCTGAGAAAAGATAAAGAAGAGTTAAGTAACTGGGAAGCTATACCATGTTCATTAACTGGAAAACTCAATAATGTTAAGATACTAATTCTTCCTCACTTGTTTTATAGATTGAATACAATCCCAATCATAATTGCACCAAGGTACTTTTAGTATGGTCAAATGTATTGAAAGTTTATATGGAAAAAGAAAAGATACAGAATATTGAACAGAATACTAAAAAAAAATTATAGGACTGACACTAATTCCAAAGCTTTTAAGTAAAGTCATGAAGATAGTGAGGTATTGCATAAAAGGAACATATAAATCAGTGGAAAACAGTTTAGAGTCCATGAATAGACACAGAAATATGCTCAATGAATTTAAAATATATGGTATTTTCAATAAAGAACAGAACACTGTAGTCTATTTAGTAAGTAGTTCTGGGAAAAATGGAAAATAAACTTTGGCCTTTACCTCACATAACTTTAAGAAAGTAAAATCAGTTGAATAATTGATCAAATGCAAGTACTAAAACTATTAAACTTTTACAAGAAAACCCATGACAAAAGTACACATTGTAATTGATCATTTTTAATATTCTCAAAATTAAAGACTTTTTTGGAAAAGATATTACTAGGAAAATGGAAAGTCAAGTCATTGACTAGAAGAAATACTTGCAAAATGTATATCAGGGATATTTTTCTGGAAAATTTTTAGAAAACCAAAAGTTTACTAGTCAGTTATAAGAAGTGAAATAACTCAATGCAAATATGGGCAAAAGGTTAGTATAAACTCTCAGGAAAGATAACTGAATTGCCAATAAGCATATAAATATTCTCATAATCTTCAGTCATAAGAAAAACATGTTAAAACCAAAATGAGACACCACAGCACACCTACCAGAATGGCTAAAATTAAAACTACTGACAATATCACTATGATAATTGAAGAAACCTATTTATGTGATATTCTCTTTGAATTTGTTTTTCAGAATCTCACTATGTAATCTAGCGTGGTCTCAATATGTAGCTCAAGCTGGCCTGGAACTCAAGATCCTCCTACCTGGGCCTCTGCAGTGCTGAAATCACAGGTATGTGCCACCACACCCAGCTATGTGAAATTCTTGAAAAGCAAAACTATAGTGAAAGCAGATCATTTGTAGCCAGGAACTACAATGAAGAGGGGACAGCTACAAAGAGAACAAAGCAACTTTCTGGGTGATGAACTAACCTAAATCTTGATTTGGTAGTGATTTTTAGGACAGTACATGCATATATTTGTCTAAACTCATTGAATTATAGTTTCAAATATGTAAATTTCTATAGAAGTAAATTATACTTCAGAAAGTTAATATGAAAAAATAAGATGCACATTGAAATGAAAAGAATCACACACACATATACACACATGCACAAACAATAGTAGTTCTATCAAGGACATTCCGAAAATCCTACAAAAACCTTCCTATCAAAACACCCAGGAATGTTTGGCTTACCATAATAATTTTATGTTAAAAATCAATTTTGATAACACAAAAACAATTGGCAAGTTTAATATTGCCTATTTTTTTTACAGAATAATCCTTTCCAATATGTGTTTGATCACCTGTCTTTTTATTGGTGATTAATAGTGACAAAATTTTTAGGAGGTTTCTTTTTAAAATAGTAATTTTAAGTCTCTATCAATTACCCTTGGCTTAGAAATTCAAATGATTTTCTAACACTTTGTCATTGCACAGGAAACCTACAAGATAAAGCAGAGCATTGCTAACATCTGTTTCACAAATTGAGAATTTTGCCTAATGGACTGTATCCAATTTGGACATTTATCAACTCTCAGAAAGCTTACGTTTTACTTTAAAATACAACTTAACTGCTAGATCTGGGGAGGGATGGAATGTGAAAATGAGTATTACTGGTGTATTTGAAAATCCCAAAACAAGTCTCTAACTCAGAATCTAGAGTTGCAAAAATTAATTTGTAAATTACAATATTTTAAATGGTTATTCCAAAATACCATATATGAAACATTCTTCATATTTAAGGGAGGTTTGATTATAAAACAAAACTAAGACTAACAGTTTGTCTTCAGAGATCATTTTTGAACATGAGATAAAAAAGGAGTAGAGATCTGTGGGTACTCTGCAAGGATTGTTCACATGTTCTCAGTAAGAATGGCTCCATATTTTTTAAAAATTCATTACCATATTCAAAATGAATAGGTATGACACTGTGTTAGTTACTTTTCTTCCACTGCTGAGACAAAATACCCGACACCCAAAGTTAAAGGGAGAAATGTTTATTTGGCTTACAGTTCGTAGAGGTTTTGGTCCATAATTGGCTGGCTCTAAGGCAGGGAGGGCAGAGGGGCAGCAGTTCATGGTGGTGGAAGACCGCAAAAGCAACAAGGGACTTAAATAGAGTCTTTCTGCTCCTTCTATCTTACTCAGACTACAGGGATCAGGGCGGTGCCAAACCAACCATTCCGGTGTGGTGGTTCAGTAATCAAAGGACCTTAATCCTAGCATTACATACTGTAGATTCACCAACCTCAGAAAAAGCCCCACCAGGACTACATGAGGCCTTGGGGGACATCAAGACACAGCCATAACAAGCACACTCCTGTAGTTGTCCTGCATAACCCAGCAGGGACTTCCCATTTCTGTTCTCTAACACATGCAAATAAATGAGGTGGATGGTGAAGGAGGAGAAAGATAGCAGGGAGAATGTGTATATATACAAGAAAGATTAAGATGGAATCAAGGACGGGGGGGGGGTGAAAAGTAGAAAGAAAAATGATAAAAGAGAAGCCAAATATTAATCCAATCTCCCAAAAAGACACCAGGAAATTTAGTACTCAAGATTAAAAAAAAAAATTGCACAGATTTGTCAAAGGATTACACAATACTCAAAGGGGATAGTTGAGACAGAAAAGGAAGTTGTACAGGAAGTCCATGTTTGATATGGCATTTAAGTTCTGTCCTGCATTTCAGTATGAGGGCTGCAATCAGACAGCTGGGTTCAAACTCCAGCTTGAACATTTGATCTGAGATTTTTATCATTGATCCTTTCTGTACCTTTCTGGGGAAGGTTTTTATTTATCTTCCAGGATATAACATCTTATTTTTATGCTACTAATGCTTTATTTTTCATGTATGTAGAAATTTTTACATGTCCTGTGATTCAGTCTTAATTCTAGAAAAGAAATTCCTAGAGTCACTACCTAATACTTTTGAGGGGTATTTTCTCTCATTTGCACATAAATACAATCCAATAGGATTTTTAATTTCCAAATCATAAAATTAACATATGACTATGAGGGGTACTGAGAAAAATCTGGTGAAGGAGGCCAAATGTTATCAATTACAATCAATAAAAGCCTGAATCTTAGGCTTGTAGGGATAATATTCCTTTCCTGGTCAGAAGTTGCTATTGTCAGAACTTTGCGTCTTCTATGAAAATGAGAAATTCCACATATTACGATATTCCTAGACTTCTGCATCCAAAGAAAATATATTTATTTCGATAGCAGCTTCACCATCATAACTCTCACATGAGAAGTTCATCCTTCCGGCCCCTGCAGCACCATTCATTTACACTTGACTCCATGTAATCTTTGTCTTCAAACCTTAATCTGGGTCAGTAAATACAGTTATTTGACATGAACACTCCTACTCTGATGTGAGGGACACACTAACTCCAGTACTTAACTATTTGCCCATGATTTTTCCTTTCTTTCTTGGTACCAGGAATCGAACTCGGGACCCTGCACTTGCAAGGCAGGCAATGGAACCACTGAGCTAAATCCCTGGCCCTGCCCATGATTTTTCAAGCCTAATAAGTTCACTAGACATAACAGTCAAAGTACTTTTCTTGTAGGCCTGTTAGGTTTATGCTGTAATGGGGTTGGAGATGGTAGGGTCCTTATAATCATTCAACCTAGAACACTGAAAGAGATAAACTGACCAATTATAAAAGAAGAGTTAACACCATGCACAGTTTGATTGTGACCAATTTTATTTTATAACTGCATTGTTCTTTATTATTTGGAATATTGAGTTCATCCAATATTTATTTTGTATATTAAAAAAATTTCCAAAGTAATACTTTTGTATAGAACATCTTCCTAATAGTAGTCAATCTTGGAGGTGATTTATACTGTAATCTCAAGAACGCAAAAAAAATACAGAAAATCACAATGCTGGGTGGGTTTTTACAGGTATCTGTTACCGTGCTGAGCAAAAAAGTTCAAGATTTTCAGTCACTGAAACAGCTTTTCATTTAAAGCAAAAGAAATAAGCTTTTGAAAGGTTCAAGTTTGAACCCATCATGTGGCTTTTATGTAAAAAAGCTTTATGCACATTAAATTGTAGCAGTCATGCAGTTCTTATTGGTTGCTGTTTTAGGCACAGCTAAATCATCAGATTTTAAAAATCTAGTTTTGCTATGTGATTAAGTAGTTCTCAAAATAACCTATGAAAGTTCTCCTACCTAAAGGATGGTGATGATGCATGCGGTCCATTTAACATGAACAGTGTTATAAATTCTGTCCTACACATTATATAGTCAGCCAGAGAGTAAACTCACCATTGGACCTTATCAAGGCTCTCATCTGAGAACTACTGAGCGGAAATGAAGAGACTTACAAGTTCGTCATATCAAAGAGGTAATCATTTGTGATTTTACAACCTTCTAAGACAAACGATTGAATATCTTCAATTACTTCATTTAAATGTGACTTGAAAAAAACATAGCATTCTGGATATAAAGCGTTCTGTTAACATTGTCATTCAGTACCTGGTTTTATTTTTTTGGTATATTTGCATATTGCATCCAGAGCTACAAATTTTCCACAGTGCGTCTACCTCATTCAAGTATAATAAAAGTAGAAATCTATAGAAGCTCTAAGGTTAAACAAACTGTACATCATACAAAAAATTAACTTAATTTACAGACAGTTAAAAGTATTGGCAATGCCCTTTATAAATCTTAGCAAAGATGCATCATAAAAGATGTTACACTCTACATACACAGTCATCACCATACAAGTGCCATTCGATTTAGGTGGTGCAGAGCAGAGTACTTAACTGTACACATGTAGAATCAGCACTTTGTACTATAAACATTTTAAGTAACAGTATTGTCAATATTAATCTAAGGTACAGGATTTTCTTATTGCATATTTATTGTTGCTGAGGCAGTTAGTTATAATACAATAATGCAATATCCATAATTATTTTAAATAAACAAAAACATTTTTCCTTCCAACAATATAAAGACTGCTCTTTTCTAAAATCACACAGAACATTGCTACATACAATTTACACAAATACTGAAAGACGTGACCTTAAGGCATCTGCCAGAAAAGCAGATGTGTATATTTATACGAACTAAATTATGCAAGAAAAAATATTGCACAAAATACTATAATTTTTCAAATAAATTTTTTGTCTAGATTTACATAATTTCCTATTTCTTGACCAAATCATAATGTTCAGTGATTTGCTAAAAAACATTCTGCCTCTTAAAGAAGCTTTAAGAAACATACGTTAACAATATCACTAGGCTCCATGTAGGAAAGATGTTAATAATGACATAGCATTTCTAAAAACTATTTCCTATATTAAGAAATGTTTTGAGGAAATTAAATTTGAGGATTCATTTTACGTTCCTAAATTTATATTCTGATTTACAAATATCTTCTCAAATTCAGAATCTTTGATAGCAAACAAACAATTCTTACTAGAAATTTTATTCATGAAATTAATCTTATCTTGAAAACCCAAATAGAGAATGAAGGTCTATGGATAAGAACATTCACAGTTTTCTCCTCTTGCTCAGAGGACTACTTCTTTACTATTAACAACTAATTCATCAGCATTCCTGAATCCTACTAATAAGATATTAGGATAGAATCCTAATTACAGCACTGTCACATACAGTTTCAATTCAAAAGGAAGGGACTGTTTCTGGAGAATGTTATTATCAAGATCTTGAAAAAGAAAAGACTGGATTCCGTACCTTCAGTTATTCCTCACTGAGTACAGTGGCCCTAAGTACTGACAGGGCACATCTTTCCCTATAGGAGGAGGCCCTGTGATGCCTTGCTCATCAGAAGGAGAATCCGGCAAACAAGTTCACTGAGCTTCCGAAAATGTCTCTGATCTGTCCTTTAAAAGTGAGTATCTTAGCAGCATTATTGTTATTAATGTAATAATTAAGAAAGATAATGAAATGAGAAATGGTACTTATGTTAGAGCATGCTTCAACTTTTTTGGTGACAGAATCTTGGGCCAGTAACTTGTAAGCAGAGTACATTATTACTATATCATCATCATCATCATCATCATCATCATCATCATCATCATCATCACACATTTTCAATTCCTTTTATTTTTTCCAGAGCAGGGATTATGTTACTTATTTTATTTCCCCACACCTTCAGTTATCATACCTTGCACATGACTTGTGCAAAAAGTAAATGAAGAATTTTCAATTGGAAAAATAATAATACTATATTTTGGTGCCTTTAAAAGATATGCCAAAGTAGGTAATCATCAAAATATACCACTTAGTGACATTTTCACTCAACAAAACAACAGCTTATAAATGTATATAATACTTCTCTATCCCCCTGAAATACCATGGGAGCAGTATCTAAGGGCAGAAGGATCCTAGCTAGGGTGGGATTCAGAAAAAAATCATGACTCAATCCAGAGGCCATATAAAAAACTATGTACCAAAGCCAAAGTCCTTAATTTATACAATGCTGCTGTAGAACAGGTACTGCTTCTTGGAAAAATAATTTGAACAGGGAAACATATAAAGATTTGGTTCAGCTACAACAGAAAATATGAGCACAATAGATAACAGCAGTTTTGTTTGCTTATTCCGGAATTCACCCTAATTTCACTTCATTCTCAATATCCACCATAATACTGGGAAGTCAAGGTAAAAGAAGACTGTCAATACTCAAAATGTTTAAGGGTTTGAAATACTAATAACTGCTACTAGTTTTATGGACTGTTTTCAAGAATAACAGAGTTTGGCTTTTGCTTTTGTTAACAAAGTGAACTAGGTAATTTTGTATGTTTAAAATAAGGCACAAATCACTTTAAAATACCTTAAGACAATTATATTATCTGTGAATGGCTTAATATCCTCAAGACAGCATAGTATTAGAGCCAAACATCTTGTGAGATGACTGAAAAACAGTGGCCATGATGTTTAAGTAAATGGACTAAAACCCAAATATGGTTCACGCTTTACTCCTGATTAGCTTATTGTTCAGACTCTGAGTTCTGAAAAAAACTGCTTAATTTCAAAATTCACAGTAAATGTTATTTTAAATTATTTTTATAAATTCAGAAGGAGTATATGCCAATCAGATTAGTCACTAGGGTAACTTTTTGTCCTGGTTACTTAAAAGAGCTCTTATATATGGATATTTTTATTATGTATTTCACTGATGTAGATTAGAATTTGAAATGAGCATAAAAGGCAAAATTTGACAAGAACTTGAATCTTACTTTTGTGTTTTTAAAAAGTATTACATACTTTTTTTCTTTATATAGAGTCCACCCTAGAATAAAAACTAGATTTTTCTTCCTGTATAATCATGAATGAATAATTATCCCAAATACAAGATACACATTTAGATTATGGTATGTAGTTTTTTTAAATACTTTGTCATTTTCTTTAAAAATGACCTGAATAAATATTTTAAGCAATGGTTTTGAGAAATCTCCTTCTAGGATTTTAAATGAAATTATATTCCATCAGTAAACACTTTACAGTACAATCTTATTGAGATTCTTGGATGGTTTCTGGAACACTTTTTCTAAAAGAGATGTTTTTAAAAATCATGATTATGATGTACAGAATGAATGACTGAGCACAGAAGCAACAAATTAACCATAACATCATGGTTTTTTTTCCTGATTATTCCTGGTAGTCTAGCCTATCATAAAGTAGTCAGCGTATGATTCCTTCTCAGATGAACTCCAAAGCTTATCAGTAAATTTGAGGGAGATAAATTTCCCATAAAGAATTCCAAATAATTTATTTAGATACTCCTCTGCCTTAGCAGAAATGTGTGGACTTTTCATAGTGACTTCATTCCAAAGACTGCAGTACTGAAAGGGGTGGTGGTCACTTTCTAGTACAGAAACCTGACAATCATTACCCCTGCCAGGTCATCAAAGTCAACACTAACATTCAGAAACAGGTCGACAGTACATACCCTGATATCATGTGATGAAAACAACAGTTTACTTCTGTATTCTTCTTCCCAAAACCCATTTGTGAGAAATCTAATTTATGAGAAACATATTAGACAAACTCCAAGAGAAGGACACTCTACAATTTATCTCACCAATAGTCCTCAAAACTGTCAAAGTCAGTAAAGTCTAATGAACTGCCACAGCCAAGAGAAGACTAAGGAGACATGACAACTAGATGGAATGTGGTGTCCTAGGACAGAAAATAGATACTACAGGTCAGAGAGAACTGCGGAAATCTATAAAGTACAGAATACCAATACCGGCTCATTAACTGTGACAAATGTACCCACTAACTTAAGACATTAACAGAGAACTTGGGTGCAGGGATACATGGAGGCTTCTATTAACTCTTTGCAATTTTTCCATAAATCTGAAACTTCTAAAATACAAAGTCAGTTATTTAAAAATGTAATCTGAGATGAGAATATAAAGCATTTTTGACAGAAAAAATTATTAATTTAGGAAAAAAGACAGAAAAATTTTTGCCAGGACAGTTTGAGTTGCATTTGGCTTTCTTGAGGGGAACCCCAGATAGCAAAGGCATACAGAGAGAGACCACAAACATTTTTAAGTGTCTCCTTTGTAAACAGAAGTCATTAACTTCACATTGCAACTAAGCACTTCATATATGTCACTGAGTGAAAGGTAAATTTATACCTTTTTTACGTTTTGAAAAACATGGCTGCAGTATCCTTATGAAAGTATTTCCACAAGCGAGCTTTTAAACCTTGAAAAAAATTAAATTTGACCTTAATTTGATGAGTAGAAAAGGCATTATTGCTCTGCAGAACAAAATAACTTCTCTTTCACACTTTACATGTAATTTCTTAAGTTATTAAGTATGCTTGATAGAGCTTTAAGATTAAGGCAATTAGTGGATTAAGAGTTTTATCGGTTTCAGGCTAGTTTTGATAAAATGTGATGTCTTGATCAGTTCATGCTCAACCAGATTAATACAGTAGCTACTGGTTATGTGTAAGGATTATATATGCTTACTTATTTTAAATAAAATGAATGGTATAAGCACCAAATACTGGGAAATCATATGTTCAACATATCCTTTCAACATACATATAAACTAGTACCTGATTTAATAGCACAGTAGAAGAATTTGCCTTACATTTAAAAATAAGTGGATTACATATATCCATGAGATGAACAAGTGGGGTTTGTTCCAAATGAAAAAAAAAATAAATAGTAGAGAGAGTTGTCATCCTTAAAAACAATTCTATTTACTATACAGATTACAGGGAATCCCCAAATGTTTCCTGGAAGGTTAGATGCGAGTGACAGACCCTTCACTGGTGATCTAACCTTGGTTTCCGCTTGCACTTCCCTTTGAAAGGTTTGAGCCTTGCCTGGAGTCAGACAACATGTGATGCAGTGACACCATCTCATGGAGCAGTCCAAGATCTTCTGAATTCTCACTGACTTCTTTTCCCTCTTTCTCCCAAGGAACAAAAGTAGATGGACATCTCCCAAGGCTGGGCATAAGCAGATCATCTGAAACCTGACTTAGTGTTTCCTGCTTTTCTGCTTCTCCTTTGTTAGTTTGGGAAACTTTTGGGGGAGCTAGCTGGAAATCCAATCCTGCAGGAGAAGCTGGATTTTCCACCACATTAGGGCCAGACTTACTGTCAGCACAGAGGTGTTTTTCATTGTTTTCCTCTTTCAAGATAAACAGAGACTCTGTCAAACCACTAGAGGAAACCTGCTTCTTGGGAGATGGAGGGAGGTGCTTGCCATGGAGGGCACTATCATCCTGCCCCAGATTCCACTCTGCTTGATCACCACAGCCACCACCACAGAGGGCCAGGTTATTCTCACTAGGAGCATTGGATTTATTCTGAAAAAACAAACAAGTTCAGAACAGTTTCAATAAAATTATTATTATTATTATAACATTTTTTCCATTTTGAAAATAATGTTCATATCTTTCAAGGCTGGGGACCTGAAGCTTCTTCCAGAAAAAATGTAGTTTTGACAGTTAATTCTGATACCTCTAAATAGTTCTGTGAAGGGGACTGAAATTAGATGGACTTTGGTTTCCATGTCCTTATAACTGTCATCTACCAAATTCAAACTAGAGCACATACAGTAACGAAAGCAAAGTTCTTCAATCTCACAATCACACTGGGGTTGCCGTTGCTCATACTTCTATCTCAGAAGCATTTAAAGAATTCAATTCCATTTCAAAGTTCATTTTTGAAGCAAGAAACTGGAAAAAAAAGACTTGAATAAACATTTTTTAAAACTCTGGAAATAAAGGGAAAAATAGGGGATTTCACATTTTAAAAATTCCCCCAAGAAGATAGCTATAAAATTTAATTTCAAGAAAATATTGCTACTGGACAAAATAATTTCAAATACTGACAAAACCCACCAGAACTGGATATAAAAAAGGGAAAACTTTGGAATTTTATTATTTAAGTAATTTTAATAATTAAATTTAACCATATTTTTGCAGTTTCGGCACCTACTTAGAGGTTAAACACGTCCAGCAACTAAGATTATAACATCAGACAATGTCAACAAGGACAAGGCTATATTCATTTAATAAGCTGAAGGATCAACTGACCGTAGGTTTGTAATCAATATCATCCATTGATCTGAAGAAATCCAAGCTCTTTGCAGCTGCCAGTTTTCCTTGATCTGAGCTGTGTGTGCTCAGTGTATCAAGGATCTCTCCTAATAAGTCCATTTCACCTGAATAAGGAGTCTTTACTCTCATGTCAACAGAATCATCACTTTCATAAAAATAAGCAGAAGCTTCTTCACCATCTTCAAAAGATAACCTGAAGAAAATAAGACACAGAATAGTAGACGCATATCCACACATGCTGAGTGTAAGCGACTTCTCACCAATGATAGTCAATGAGGTGCTTAAAGTCAAAATGCTGTTTCAGTGGCAACAACTGGCTCATGGTCAAATTCTTTATAGTTGTGTATCTACCACTTCAAATACTGGAAATTTTAAGTATGTGTATTATGAACAAACAAAAAATTTATGGTAACTGAGCAATCTGGAGAAAGAGACAAGGCTGTGCACCTTTACCTTGGACTGAGTACTTGAAAAGTTTGTTATAGCCCAAGCTCACTTTCAGTATTATCATATAGTTTTCCTTTTCCTATTTACTTACTCGTTCTACAGAATATATTACTTTATATAGATAGATTTTCTTAATGAAGAAAAAAGAATGCCATTTGGTCATCCTCATATATCTGAAAATTATAAAGAAGATAAATATTTACTATTATTTACTTAACATTAATTTTAACACTTGGTACTAAATTTCCCTTTTCAAATATAACCCTCAACTTAATTGCTCCTCTCAACTCAATTTGTTTCAAATTCTTATTACCACTGTTCCTCATACTGGGCCTGCCCCTTTCAGCATGAGGGTGCAGGCCCAACTTAGGTGGACTTTATCCCTGCCCCAGACAGCTCTGTGGACATTGGTGCTTCCCAGGAACAAGAGGCTGCAGGTCTAGCTCTCTTTTCTGTCCCAAGATGTATCCCCCACAACATTCTAAGGAGCACTGGTTCCTTTTGGTGACGCTAACTGAAGGGAATAACATCTGAGCTCTTGGAGTGCACATTCTTTGAAATGCCCTAAAACTTAAAAGTTCTGCCATTAAAGCCATACCAGGAAACAGAGCCCCATGACCCTCTGCTTACTTGCTTGCTCTTTCAATGTCGTCGTCGTCGTCATACAGGGCACCATCCAGGCTCTGGAGAGACTTTTTCAAGCATGCCTAGAAAGAGAAATTGACAATGAACTGACATTTGTAAGTTAAAATAAATATATATTATCTTTAATATATTTTAAGGAATAATGTGATTTTATCAGAAACAATTTTAAAAGTGTTTGAATGCTACCCAACAACTTGGAAAACTGAGACAAGAAGAAACAGAAGTAGTCAAGTAATATTTATCTAATACTTAGGCACTCCTCAAACTAATAACTGAAAGCAAATCACTGGACTGGACACATATATACATATGGACACTGGATAAACATATTTAATATCAATCATACCCCACCATGCACACATCACAAAACTTTAATAATTAGCAATAGTTGCTGATCTTATTTCTTCTCCATCCATACTCTCCCCAACACCAAGTTAGAGCAGTGTTTCTCAATCCTTAATGTGTACAGGCCATATTGATAGTCCCCTAGTACTCCATAAATATTTGAGTTTATTTATTTCTTCAGATCAGAATCCCAACCAGATTACTCTTGCACTTGGTGGATACTTTGCTCCAGTCTCTTCAGAGCACTCAGTTATACTTCCCCTTCTTTCTAACATTTGTGTCCTTTCAAATGAACATCGGATTCTACCCTCATTATATATAAGCTGGTAGCTACAACTAGAATTTTAGTTAAGGCTCAATTTCTGTTTCTTTTCCCCTTGTTTTTGGCAAGAATATGCCATGGGTGGTGATATATGCTTTCCAGTAGCTGCATCAATAGACATATAATACTTACATATCCAATTTTTGGTAGTATTAAGATTAATCGGTGGTGGTTCCACCACTCCCAGCCCAGAGGAAGGGGCTTCTGGGCCGCCAATCCACTGCTCCCAGCGCAGAGGAGGTGAGCCGTGCAGGTGCCAACAGCACCACCCCCCATCAAAATTAGAAGACATATAAACAAGTTTCAAAAACAGACTTCCAGATCACTTACAGCAACCCCAAAGGGAAAGGAGATGGAACACTCTGATACTCAAACACCTGGACTCCCTGAACTGGAAAAAAAAGAGGATCTGGAAAAAATGAAATCAGAAATAATTTCTCAGACAACAGCAGAGAATGTGCCCATAGTTCAAGACATGATGAATAAATCTAGAGAGGACACAGATAAAAAAAAAGAGGACCTGAGGAACATGATGAAATCCCAACATAGGAAACAAATGGAATCCGTAAAACAGATACAAACAGATTTCCAGGAGATTAAAAACTCCACTGAAAGTCTACACAGCAGAATGAGCCAATATGAAGACAGAATTGCAGATATAGAAGAGAAGATTGCAATTAGTGACCAGGAAAAGAAAAATTGCTTCAAAATTGTAAGGGACCACAAGAAAGCAATCCAGAAGCTGCTAGACAATACAAAGAAGAATAACATACGACTGACTGGAGTCAACAAAGAAACAGAGAGTGCAAATGACATTAAAAAACTGTTCACAGAAGGAATGGCAGAAAGCTTCCCAATTAGGGGAAAAGAAGTTGACATACAGATAAGTGAGGCATATAGGACTCCAACTAGCCTTGATCAAAAAAAACCTACACAAAGTCATGTAACTGTTAAGATTCCAGAAAGCCAACAGAAGAACAAAATTCTACAAGCAGTTAGAGAAAAAAAACAAAGGACACACATACAAAGGACAGCCCATCAGAAGCCCAGCAGACTTCTCAATGCAAACCCTCAAGGCAAGAAGAGCTTGGAGTGACGTATTCCAAGCCCTAAAGGAAAACAGCCTCCAACCCAGATTGATGTACCCTGCAAAATTATCTTTCAAACTTGATGGAGAAA